TTATTTTCCCTTTTTCTACGGCATCTAATTCTTGTTTTTCTTTAATCCCTTTTCCCTCTTTTTCTCTCATATATTTAATCTCTTTTTATTCGTTTACCGTTTTCTTTTCTCACTCTCTCTTTTTTCTGATCATCTAATTCTTTCTTTCTTTCTTTCTTTCTTTCATTCTCTATTCTTTTTTATGTCAATCCTTCTATATTTCTAAGTTTCTTTCATTTTTGTCTTATCTATCATCTTTCTTATTATTTACTAAGTTTAGCAAAGTACGATATAAAGCAAAATTTTGGGAAAGAAAGGTGGAAGATTGTGTTACGCCAAGCATTCCAGTGAAAAGGAGCTATATGACTGAAAAATTAGAAGTTCTTTTATCTCGACACGAATACCGATAGGAAATTCGTAAATATTTAATTAATAAAGCAAGGTTCTTCTTTCTCCTGCCATCTTTCTTTCTTTCTTTCTCTCTTTCTTTCTTTCTTTCTTTCTCTCTTTCTTTCTTTCTTTCTTTCTTTTTACTCTATCTCTTTTTATTCATTATCTTTCTTTCGTTCTATTTCTTCTCTTTTTTTCTTTTTATTCCTTCTCATTCTTTCTTCATTTTTTTCTTTTTATTCCTTCCCATTCTTTCTTTCTTTCTTTCTTTCTTTCTTTCTTTCTTTCTTTCTTTCTTTGAACGAGTTCGTCTACGTTTTTCTTCATTTTCCTCCTCAACACTACATTCCCCCACTCAACGTCTCTCCCATTTTTATGTTGTCTCTTCTGCCTTTTTCTTTTCCTGTTTCTGGATTATTATTTTTTACTACTTACGTTTATTTTTCAATTCATTATATACCTTCTTCTTCTTCTTCTTCTTCTTCTTCTTCTTCTTCTTCTTCTTCTTCTTCTTCTTCTTCTTCTTCTTCTTCAGTATTTCATTTGACAATTAATTATTAATTCTTTTTTTTTTCTTTCTTTTTATTTATTCATTCAATTTTCCTTTATTCTAAACTGCTCTTAACTTTTTCTTATTTAATTTTCCTTCGTTCACACAATCATTTCTTTTTCTCTTTCTTTCTTGTTCTTCAGTCACTCACTCTTTTTATGTATTTCTCTTTTTGTGTTCTTCCTTTTTAGTTTCTTTCTTTCACTTATTTAATTTTCTTTCTTTTTTCTTTTCTTTGCTTCTTTTACATTTCATGCCTTCCTTTAATCCCAGAGAACTTTTACACCGTTTTTCTGCATTCCTCTTCGTTTCATGCTTATTTTTATTATTTATAAGTTTCTTCCTTTTTTTTCAAATTTTCACTTTTTTCTTCCCTCTCTCTTCTCTTGTTTTTTCTATTTTCTTTCTCTTTCCATTTTAGAACGCATGCTTCACATTTCCTTCTTTTTTTCTTCCTTTCTCGTCAAACTCGTTACTTTCTCCTTCTTCTTCTTCTTTGTTTCTCTTTTTCTCTTTCTGCCTCTCTGTTGCTGCATCAATCAGTTTGTTCGTTATATACACAATTCGGATCTAGTAGCAGTTGCAACAGTCGTCATAGCAAGCAGAAACAATTACAGTAGTTGGTAGCCGAGCAAACAGATGGCGTTGGAGTCATACTGCAAAATTAATTCGTCATATCATTTCAATAAACCGTTATGGAAAAATCAAAAGTTTCTATCATTTTATCAATCATTCTAGAAAATTAACGGAACATATGGCGTACTCATTAATATATAAAAGAAATCTATTCTGAAGCTTGGCTCAAATGCGTCTTGAAGTCTATGTAAAAACAAGAGAACAATTATTACCTATAGCGATATATATCAGCGAATGGAAAAAGCATGATAGCTAGCTTAATCTTAGAGCGGGCTTCTTCTCTCTCCTATGTGACATATCCTTTCAGAACGTAGGCAATCATGGCTCTCCACAATTTCCTCTCTTCTGGTAGCTCTTAGCAATATTTTTTGTTATTTCTCCTAACCTCTCCTTTGTCTTTTTTACTATCTCTCTGTCCCTCTTGCCTTCAACATGTCCTGTTAGTGTTAAATTTTCCAAGTCATCTTTCCTCATTATATTCCTAGAATTTTCAACTGTCTGATGCTATGTATAAGTTCCATTTTTGTTTCCAATTTCTCTAAAACTTTGTCGTTGGTCATAGTATTCTCATCATCCTTCTGTAGAACTACATTTTTGTTGTCTCTTGTTGAGAAAAAGTGTAAGCATATTTGTTTTCCTGATCCTTGGAGTTGTTAGTAAGATTTGTCTTTTTGCTATCTCTCCTAATCCCTGTTCTGTCAACCAATTACACAAGCTCGTTAGGTAGGTCATTTCCTGCTTTCTTCCATCTCTCTTGCCTTCAATATGTCCTGTGAGTGTCATATTCCCCAAGCCCACATTCCATATTATGTGCCTTAGAAATTTTAATTATTTCTTTCTGATATAAACGTCATTTTTTTGTTTCCATTTTCCTTAAATCTTCATCTTTATTATTATATCTTCTGCTCATGATATTCTCAGCATCCTACTGTAGAACCACATTTCTGTTGCTTCAAGTCTCTTCCTCATATGTCATGAAATTGTCCATCATTCACTGCCATATAGGAGGACCGATGTTACATAAGAGTTTTCTTTTCTTTGCTTCTAATGACATATTTCTGTCGCTTAATACTTTGCTTAACTTTTGCTGAGCAACTGACTACCTCCCAGAATATGTCTCAGTTGTGTGTCAATGTCTGATCCTCTGTGAATAATCTAATCTATTCAGTGACGTTGTCAGCCAATGTTTTTCTCTGTATTCTTTTGCCTAAGGGGATAACTTGTAGGGTCTCTTTTTGACAGTGGTCATGAGGTCTTCCAATGGATCTGTTACTTGTCGAATAATGTCTTTCACTGTATTATTTGTGATGCAGTCTACATAAGAGGTGCCTAAGATGATACATTATAGGGTGACATTTCTATACCATTTCTAATCTCTCTTTTTGCCAGTGGTTATGAGGTCTTTCAATGGACCTATTTCATGTCAGATGGTGTCTTTCACTGTATTATTTGTGATACAGTCTACGTAGGAGATGCCTAAGGTGATGCCTTCTATGGTAACATTTCTATACCAATTCAACTCTCTTATTTGACAGTGGTCATGAAGTCTTCCAATGGGCCTGTTTCTTGTCAGATGGTGTCTTTCACTGTATTATTTGTGATGCAGTTTACATATGATATGCCTAGGATGGTTCTGTAGCATCCCATTTCTAATGTGTTGAAGCTTGGATAAGCATGGAATAATAATAATACAACACAAAATGTACGTAAACAAAATGTATTGAAACAAGGAAAAGGTACACAATATTTACAGTTAGTTTTGGTATATTCTTGGGAAGACTGTTCCTGCAGAATGGGTTGACTAAATAGCAGTCGGGCAGAGTCTCTCGATTGGATCTCTTCTTACTTCTTCTCGTCTTCCCGGTACCAACCCATATTTATATGGTCGGTACTCCACTTATGTAAATTAGGTGTATCGTACACAACATAATGGTTGGATTCTTTGCTCTAAATTCTGTTGTTGATGTCCAAGATTTGCAGAGTTACAGAAAGATTGAGAAGGATATGGATTAACGAAGTCACAAAGTCCGTGTGAGGATTAAACGCACTACAGCAGTAATAGTCTTACTAACAGTGGAGAGAGACGTTATTTACTAAGTTTAGTTTAACATGGCACAAGGCCACAAATATGGAGCGCCTAGTAATGATTGAACTCATGACACTAATGAATTTGAAAATTGTAAAATTTCATCTGAAATAAAGACAATATGGATTTTAAGCCAGATGGTTACAATATAAAGAAAAACGAGAAAATATGGGCCATCATCATCATCATCATCATCATCATCACCAGGGTCGCTGTGTAGCTCAGCATCTGGCAGCTTCCTCCATGTCTTCATTGTGTGCTAATGTCTGTGTCTCTGTAAATGATCTAGTCCACTCGGTGACATTGTCAGCCCTTTTTCCTTTCCTTCTGTCTTCCTCTTCTTCTTTTGCCTAAGGTGATAAGGAGGCACAGTGGAGTAATGGATAGAGACTCGGATTGAGGAATCGAGGAGCCGAGTTCGAATTCCAATCAAATCCCTTACATTCACTTACGTGCTAATACACTTGGGAAATCCTCTTGAAGCCATCGTGTTCTATAGCCTTAGATGGCAACACGACTATTTACAGAAAGGAATGGCAACCGACTGCGGGAAAAAAATCTGCCTCGTCAGTCATCAGTCAGTATCGAAAGATACATCATTGCCTAAGCTTATATCACGCATGGCAGATAACTGACTACGGTGATACTTTGTAGGAAAAGTGGAAAGATTGTTGGCTCTTATGGCATGTCTATAACATTTCAACTTCCTCATTTTCATGGTGGTTATGGGCCTGTTTCTTGTCTGATGGTGTCTCTCACTGTGTGATTTGGGGGGGGTGTAGTTATTAGAAATGAGATGTTGCATAACAATCATCATAGGCATCTCCTACGTGAATTAAGCTAGACTTTGTAAATAGCAGGACACCACGCCGTTAGATGTGCGGGTGGTGTAATAGAGAATTAGAAATTGGAGAGCCGAGTTCGTTACTTTCAATTATGCGCAAATACACTTGGGAAAAGTATGAACCCGTCTCTTCTCCCCCAGCTACGGGTTAAATGGCACGACAGACTGGGTTCTATAGCCTTTGCTGGCAACCATTCTAGAGATGGTGACTCAATAAAATCACCCATCCCTCAACAAGCACAGGCCACCCTTGGAGTGCATGGGCGCATGCGCATTAACTGAAATTCTTCAATCGTATATTATGCCTTTTGCCGCAGGCGGTGAAGATGTTTACGCCATCTTATGATGGTTATAATACTCATCTAGCAGACCGTTTCATGAATGAACTGTATTTGATCACCACAGGGAGTTTTCTACAAATGGAGTCTTGTGCCAGATTAAGATAAGCTGAGAAAATAAATTTTCTAAATCCAGAGTGCGCCAAAATTTCGGACTTGTGTCTAAAACTAAAACTAAAATTAATAGTTATCTATTGTCACTGAATTTAATTTAAATGGCTGCTTCCAACCGATACTCAGCAGCTACAAACTGACTGAAATGACTCACTTATAACTAAATGAACAGTTACTTTAATAGTTTTATTGTGTTAATAAGGCACGTCATAAAGACTTTTTTAAAAACTGTTAGAAAAAACTTGATTTATCTAAGAAAGATATTAGAATGATCAACACACAGATAGAAAATCGGCCCATCAGGCCACAAGTTCCCGGATTGTTGGAATGGCATACGGAGCGATCGCAATTGAATGGACAGGTTTGGGTCAGAGGTATTACAACACACACACACACACACACACACACACACACACACACACACACACACACACACACATATATATATATTTATATATAACGAAATACAATGGTAGTGCTTTAGATCAAATTATAGTGAGGCTTGTAATAAAGAGTACTTAATACAAAGTAGAACGTATCAATTGTAAGACAAATTCAGAATATAAGAAATAAAACCACAGCTAAAAGAGTTTCACTCGCGAATTGATGGATCGTCAGGCAAGATTCAATTTTTGTCTTTGTCAAGACAAAAATCTTTTTTGAAGACAAAAATCTTTTTTGAAGACAAAAATAAACCTAGTCTGACGATCCTTCTATTCGAGGGTGAAACTCGAGTAGCTCTGGTTTTATTTCTTATTCTGTGTGTGTATATATATATATATATATATATATATATATATATATATATATATATAAACTGCTACATTGAAACATGCAAGTTACCCCCCAAAATGGATATTTGTTTCGATGTTTAATTTAGACATCTCATCACATCGAAACAAATATGCATTTTTGTTGTGGTAACTTGTATGTACCATTGTAACAGTTTCTAATAAATATTTATTTCTCTTCTCTTGTTTGAGCCCGTTTTTAAATTAATGTTATGAACGTTTGAATTTATATTCTTTTCGTTCGTAAAACATTTGTATACACACACACACACACACACACACACACATACACACACACACACACACACACACACACATATATATATATATATTATAAATTAATTGGTTTAAAATATGTTTTTTTTCGCTACACAATTCTAACCATGTTTCAAAAATGGAAGCTGAAAGCTTCGAATTTAATATTTATACATATATATATAATATAATATAATATAATATAATATAATAATATAATCTACTATAATAATATATGCCTTTTTATATATATATATATAATATAATCTACTATAACCTCTTCCTTTTTTTATATATATATATATATATATATATATATATATACATACATATATATATATTTATATAATATAATACAATATAATCTACTATAATAATATACATAATATAATCTACTATAATAATATATCCCTTTATATATATATATATATATATATATATATATATATATATATTTAATCTTTCCGATTTTTTAATATATTTGCATATATATATATATATATATATATA